GAAAGAGCAGGAAGAAGTCAACAATCCAGCTTGTCCCCGAGCCTCCGCTCCACATCTGTACTGGAGAACACACGCAGGCCACATGGATGGATACACGGGAATCAAGTGAGTCATTCGACATCTGACGTGCTTTTAAAACGACAACACAGTCGTTCACCATGCCACAGAGAAGGGTGATCAGAGCAAAAACACTGGACGACCAATTACAGAGTCGTAGCAAAAGCACACACACACACACACACACACACACACACACACACACACCCCTCAGCAGCACAGAGGCACCACAACAAGAAAACCATCAGGGGCCCCTCCCGCCGCACGAGTCAGCAAGCCCACGGGGGACAATCTAAGTCCGGGACATGACCTAACAGACTGGTCTTCAGAAGCCTTCGGAGGAGAACATGCACAGGAAACGCAGGGCGCGGGCGCGCAGCGGGCAGAGGGCTAAGTAAGCAACACCGAACAGAATCGTTTTCTCACAAATGTGTTGACTTAGCAGGGACGGCTTCAGTCACGATGGGAGGCAGCACCCTACTGTGGGTGGGCGCCGTCTAGTTGGTCTGACCCACAGGGACCCCGTGAGCCACAGAACGAACCGTGGTTGGGTCCTGCAACACCCCCCCCCCCACTCTTGTTCTCTCTGAACCCACGGGGTCCAGCCGGCTCCAGCAGAGTCCTCCTCCTTTACGCTGACCCTCTGCTGTCCGCAGCATGACCTGGCCTTCTCCAGGGACAGGCAGCTCCAGCCTCTCCTCACAGCATCCCTCAAGCCCAGGATGCTCCCCATGCTGGCTGGTCCCACAGGGGGTCTCTGAGGGGTTCCCATTGCCCCGTCCCTGGTCGGTCTCCAGCTGCCTGGGCTCCCCCTGTCCACCCACTGGACCCGGCTCCCAGGCAGCTCCCTCACAGTGGCACCAGCCCAACCCAGAACCAAGAAGACTCAGGAGAATGAATGTTGTCAGGGGAGAGAGCAACGAAGAATCTACTCAAAATAAAGGTCCAGCCAAAGACAGACAGAGGCAGATCGTACCTGCACCCCATCTCCTGCCTCGAGGCCCAGGTCCCATACAAGTGACTCAGAAAATGTGAAGAACAGAGAGGGTTCTCCTCGTAGTGGAAATGGAGGCGAAAAGCCTCCCCGTACCCGGGGAGCCGGAGACGTTACTGTCCTGTCCCCTGCCGGAGGCAGAGAAAGGACCCACAGAGCTGGGAGGGGCACTGCAGCCCCAGGGGGCGCAAGCAGCAGGGGCTGACCTCTCTGAGTCCCCGGAGAGGAGGGGTGAGCACGGGCGGTCAGGTTGAGTGGGACACCATGCAGGGGTCTCTTTGCCACTGCAGATCAGCAGGAGCAGAGTGGTCATGGGGCTGGGCGTGTGTGTGTGTGTGTGTGTGTGTGTGTGTGTGTGTGTGAGTGTACTCCCTGCCGTCCGTAGGACTGCCCCTGTGAGTTTCAGAGAATGCAACGGTTTCTCCTGCAGAGCAGCCAGTGGTTTCAAACTCCCGACCTT